TTGTTAACTGGGTCGAATCCAATTTTTCAGCAGGACAATGCCCCTATTCATAAGGTGACAGATTGGCTTGAAGCAAATGAAGCTTTGGCTATTCCTTATGTTAGTCCAATGTTGGCTGAAAGTTTAGGAAATCTGCCACCTATTTTATGTGTAAGTAATTGAAATTAAAAAATATTTGTTCATGTAAATTTATATTAATCATTATATATTTTACACTTACTAATAAAATAGCAAGTGGGTAGTGGAGAAAGATTTTTGGATCAAGATATCTTATTTAGCTTTAAAGCTTCTGATCCGAATAAATATCAATTGCCTAAATATGCTACAATGAATTTCGCTAATTCACCTTTCAAGAAACCTACCGAAGTCATACTTGAAGTTTATGATGGAACATGTCATTGTTTTCAACAAGTGAGTTTATTTGACTTCTATAATTCCAGGTTTTCAACATATTCACATATATATTTACTACATTTATTTGTAATTAGATGATTCCTGATAAAATTTCCCAGTTCTCAATAAACCGTTCTTGCGATTTTATTAAGGAACGCATAATTAATGAAAACACTCAAAATGAAATAGAGAGTAAAGCTATTAAAGCTATTGCAATTAACCCTAACTGTGAGACTAGAGATTTAGATAAAAAATTTCTAGAATGCTTAAATTGGGAAAACATTGGGATAGTTCCAGAATTAGAGGTTGATGATATGTAAACAAATGCTGTAACCAAAATTTTATTTTATTAAACTAGCATAATATGCAATCATAATTAATGTGTAGTTCGCAGCTGAAGGGTATAAATTTCATAGTAAAACTCGGCGGGCATTTACTAGTTACCTTATATAATAAGTGGAATCCCGTATGATTCAAATCTTAAGAAAAACTCCTATTGCAAAAAATCGGAAAATACTCATATCTCATGATTCATATGACAGATTTTAAAGATTTTACCACCATTAGAATCATAAAAATTAGTTCTACAATGTAAATTAGAAGCCAAAAGAAGGTTTACATAATAAAAAAATGCTTTTATATATAATCTTGCCAGATTCCTATACTATAGAAAAAATATATGAATTTTTGATTTTGTTTATTATAAGATTTGCTATTTTTTTAACCCTCGAAGGCGAACTACCCTTAATTATATTTTAAAATATTGGAAAGTTATATTCATAACACCGTGTTATATAACACCTTTTGCAATATCTCAAAAACGTACTAAGTAAATGGGTGTAGGTA